TTTTTTTTTTTTTTTTTTTTTTTTTTTTTTTTTGAAACTCTACGTCTTTTCCCCAGACGAACGAACTTTTGTCTTTTGTTTTTTTGGTTTCCATCAACTGACCTTGACCACCTAGCTTCCAACACCTGGTGCGGTGCCCAGTCCCGCTGTGAGGGCACTTCCACAGGAAAGAGCACCGGAGGCCGCGTTTCCGTCAGCTACGGTAGCGGATCCTTCTCCGGCAGCGAGTACACCGACGTAGTTGAGTTTGGTGGCCTCACGGTGCGCTCCCAATCGATTGGCGCCGCCAGTTCCGCTCAGGGATTCCAAGGTGTCGATGGTATTTTGGGACTGGGACCCGTTGAGCTCACCGAGTCGACTGTTTCCAACGTCAACTCTGTCCCGTAAGTTTTTCCTGGATCCCCCTCCTCTTTTCCATCAAAAAATCTAACTCTTCTCCAGAACATTCATGGACAACCTCTACAAACAAGGCAGCATCTCCACCGAAGTCCTCGGCGTATACTTCGCCCCCGTCTCCGGCAGCGCCACCAGCGCCAGCAACGGCGAACTCACCCTCGGCGGCGTCGACAGCTCCAAATACAGCGGCTCCCTCACCTACCTCTCCAAAGCCCGCTCCGGCTCCTCTTCCCCCTACTGGGGCCTCACCTTCTCCTCCTTCACCCTCGGCAACACAAACCTCGGCGGCAGCAACTCCGCCGGAATCGTCGACACGGGAACCACACTCATCTACATCCCGACATCCGCCTACAACAAATTTTTGTCTTCTGCAGCCTCGGGGGGTACAACAGATTATTCTTCGGGTCTCGCAGCATTTAATTCTCGCCCCTCGGCCGATTTTAGTTTTACTGTTGCGGGAAGCAAATTTACGTTGTCGCCTGAGCAGTATTTGGTGCCGCAGGCGCAGTATGCGAATTTTGGACTTGAGCAGGGGAAGTATTATGCGTGGATTAATGATGGAGGTGCGAGTGGTGTGAATACGATTATTGGGCAGAAGTTTTTGGAGAATTATTATTCGGTTTATGATACTACGAGGGGCAGGATTGGGTTTGCGAAGCGTCGTTAGGGAGGTGTCGTTAAGAAGCGTCGTTAGAGAGGGTGGCTTTTTGGTGGAAGGGGGGAAGAAGATGAGGAAGAGGAAGAGAAAGAGGTAGGCGTGTTGAGTGAGTGTTGAGTGATGTGTTTTTGTTGTCTTTTTTTTTCAAACTCTGAAAAAAAGAAAAAGGGGGGAGGGAAGTAGCATACATACACTACTCCATCATCCCAGTCCAGTCATTAAGATAGAAAAGATAGAGATAGAAGGTAGAAAAAGATAGAACATAGAGAATAGAGGTTACCTTGAAGAGAGGATTAGAAAAATCTTACTACAAGGATTGGATTTGCTTCTTATTTTGGAGAATCGTGAGGTTGAGGTTGAGTTTTCTTTTTTTTTGGTTTCGCAATAGTGTGGTAGGAGGGAATGAAGTATTGACTGACTCTTCAATGGCACTTCTTATTTGATTGACCCTTACACGATGCGTCCTGTATGCAATTTGTTTTGTTGCCTAATTCAAAAGCATGAAAAAAATTTCTTCAGCAGACGCGCTGAAATTCATATCTGTATACCATGAGCTGCCGAAGAGCTCTTGCAGTATTCAATGATGCAATTTACACATGAACCAACCCGAAAAGGATATCGGACTGTGATCAGCACAGATGCTCAATCATTCGGCCCTTTCATCCGAACCACCACATCTCCTTTGGAGTCAATCCATTGCAGTCCAAGTTTCCTGACGCTGCCTTCACTCGCAGTGTATAGCAAGACATAAATATGACTGACGGTCTCTCCCCAGCAGTATACTCGCACGAACCGAAATTGTCCTCGCGCATCGGCGGCGTTCGATGGCCGTGCAAGGCTATTGCTCGGCACAAGATATTGGTCGGACCCTCGCGTGCACCACACGCCCCATCCTGCACTGCCGTTGCCAATCCAACACTCCAAGTGATGCCAAAAAGTAAGCTTCTTAGTCGGACGCCACGATACGCAGTCAATCAACCAGTGGCCTCTCTCATGGGTAGAAATGGGCCGCGATGCCATGGTGGGGCTGAATTTGGAAGCAAGGGAGTCGTGCAGGTCCCGCAATTCTTTGGTAATGTAGGTTTTGAATGTTTTCGCAGAAGTAGTTGGCCGGGGGGCATGAATTTCTGTGGCAAGTTCGAGGAGTTCAGACGGAGCTTCTTCCACTTCAGCAGATGGATCAACATGGCGCGGTCGTGGGGCTTTGTGATCGTTGTCAAGGTATGCATTCGCTCGTGTTGAATCGTGCGGCACCTGTTCCTGAACATGTACCGGACTCGCACCGACATCTGACTGGTCAGCATCACCGCTCCCAGCATCGGCTGGGTTTGGCTCCGAAGCGCGTACTTCAGCAAAAGGTTCCTCAACTGTGACATCGCGCTGTTCAGACTGAAGCAGATCAGACGGAGGATCAAACGTGTCATCGAGACTGTGCGAGACTGGGCCGGGGTCGCTATTCGATCTGCCATTGCGCACTCGATCCTGGAGGCTATTGCCCTGACTGTCCGAGACCAAATCGCTCACGGAGTAAGAAGTGGGCAGCTCTGAAGTCGTTTCGTCGCTGAAAGTGGTGCCTTCAGCGGAATTCTCATCTCCACTATGATGGCCGAGGGCGATCGTCGATGCCTGCCCTGAAGGATCCGGACGAGGTAGAGGCTGCTCTTGGATCGGTCGGAACAGGTTCGCGGGCTCAAAATCGTGGCGCTCAGGGGATTCTCGCCGCACGCGCTTGCTTGCTCGACCAGAAAGTGGCGTTCTAATATATGAAGACTGGCTGACCGGCGCACTTTCTGCACGTCGCCGAGGCGGGGTGGTGCTTGTAGAAACACTCGCCGGCTTTCTTGCGAGCGGAGACCTCTGTGTGCAGCCCTTGCCACTACTCCTGGCCTGTTGTTGACTCGAAGACCCACGATTTTCCACGCTGCTTACAACCGAATGAACATCCTTGGAGGTGCCTGTATGCGCCGCTACGACGGGAGAAGACGCAAACAACTGACTTTCCAGCGCAGTACAAGCCAGCTGAGTATCATCGATATACTCCAACGAATCCGGCGCCCGTAGCCGTTTCGTAGAACTCCTCTCCAACTCTGCCTGCTCAAAGTTTTGATTAACTTGACTACTCGCCTGGACTTGGTCTTCTATACTCGTCATGTCCTCGAGCGCCTTAGTCGCTTCACCAGCTCCAGGCTCAACTGTCAACAAGCGCCTATCCTCTCGAGCCTCCCATATCCTAACTCTCCCACGATGACCCTCCAAAGCGCTCGCATAAGCTTCTGCCTGCGCAATATATCCATCATCCTGTCTCTTCGAGCTCGGTGCGCCGGCGTGCACCAGCAGCTTGGTGCCACATCTTTCCATGCCTCTGGCGTCCAAGTCCCATTTCCATGACAGGCGTTGTCGACGAGGTCGGAGTGGAGGCGCTGCGACAAGCTAGTTGCAGAGTGGGCAGGACGTGTGGTGTGTCAGCACAGTTGAGTGTTGAATGAACAGGTTGGTGGAGGTGTAAGTGTAGTGAGATCGTTCAAAGGAAGTAATAGTTACACCCGTAGAACACGTGCAACCGGGACAAAGCGAGTGTTGTCTTTCGTCATCCTTGTTCTCTACGCCGATTTCTCGGCTCGGATAAACAGCAAATTCTATTCTGTACTATTAGTTCAAATTTTCAATTTCACATAAAAAAAAATTAAAAGAATCTCCACTAAATAATTAGATTCACTCAAATGATTATCATATCATAGCCTTGCTCTATATTATTATATGGGGTATCAGTAATAAACTTTCCAAAGCAAAAACTGCCAGCTATAGAAAAACCAAAAAAAAAAGAGAAAGAGTGCAGCCATGGAAAAAAAAATCTCCTCTCTCTCTCTCTCTTAAAACTTCTTGCCCTCGGTGAAACCACCCATTTGGCCCACCATGTAGTCTTTCCCCTTGGCGAAAGCGACTACGAAGCCCGGTACCGACCAGCCATTGAAAGCCGCCACACCAGTTTTGGGTCCAATGGGAACAAATTGCGTTTCTTTTTTCTGAAAGCGATACGTCTTCTCGGCGACGACACTGCCGGTCTTGGCTTCGGCAAGCAAATCGTGATCGAGGTTGGCGCACAAGACTGGGAGAGAAGTGTACCTGTTTTTTTTAATGAGTCAGTGGTTTTTTTTTTTTTTCCCCCTCATGCAAACGGACCCAAGAATGGAGGGGAGAGGGGGGAAAGGAAAGAATATTAAACTCACATGTTCAAAACACCGCCTGTATCCACGCCAGAGACATCACCAGCAGCGTATACACGTGCTCCCGCCTTGTCGACGCGCAGGGTGCTCGAGTTCGTGTTCACGTATCCATTGCTGTTCTTGAGATCTGCGGGCAACCACTCCGTGTTGGGTTGCACACCATATGCAGGAATGTAGACATCCACAGTGCGAGATTTGCCATCACTGAGGACGATTTCCGTTTTGCCATTGCCGACATCATTCGAAGCGGTGACTTTGGTGTTGTACACAACATCCACGCCGACCTTCTTGAGCAAAGATTCGGCTTTTTTGGCGCGTGTGTCGTTGAAGACAGGAAGCAGTTTCGCTGCAGAGGTGATTAATGTCACTTTGGCTTTGCTGCCCAAAAATGCTCCGATTTCTCCAGCAGTCTCCACGCCGACGGGTCCTCCGCCCGCCACGACAATGTCCTTGGCAGTTTTCAGTTTCACATTCATCTCCCGCAGTGCTTGCTCCGAGACTTCGTGCGAACCCACGAAACCCGTCAGAGGAGTGGGCGTGCGAACTCCCGTAGCGATGATGAGAGCCCAGTACGCGAGAGATTCCGTGCTGCCATTTGGTGTCGCGAGCGAAACGGTGCGGGCTTGAGTGTCGAGGCCAGATGCAGTGGCCTGGTGGAAGACGATGGAATCTTGCAGACTTCCGTACTGCTTGAATCCATCTTTGATCGGCACGAAACTCTTCTCGATGGTGAGCTCGTCGACCGAGCAGATTTGTCGGGGAGCGGCAATGTGCCACCAGAAATGAGTCGAAGGGTCCACGAGGTGTAGGACATATTTGCCCGTGCCAGACTTTTGCAGTTGAGGGAGCAGATGCTTGCAAATGTGGTGAGCCGTCCCCAGTCCTGCCCATGCCACGCCCAGGACGACAATGTTGCGTGTCTCGGACATGATGCGTTACGATGATAGTTCGATGAGTGGTAGAGGAGTCTGTTGCTCGAGGAATGATATGTCGAGAGGTCGACGGTGTGGAGTGATGAGACTCAGCAGTGCTACCAGGAGAAGCAGTGTGCCGGGTAGCACATGATGTATATATATACCTATATATCATATAAAGCACAGTAATACACGGACTTCCTGCAGGAGAGCCGATGAGAAACAGGATTGATCAGCATTCTTCGGGTCGGGCCGACTGGATACGTTTGTGAAGTTGTAATAGGCTTATTAGGCTCCTTTGGCTCGGTTCGTAAGCACTAGAGTAGTCTAGCCATGTGCTGACAGTATCAGAATTCTCGGTGATCTCGGCCATCTCGACTTTTTTCTTCTCTAGAATCTAAGCTGACTTGATGCTGAGCCACAGTCGAATCACATGATGAGAAAGATGCGCAACCACAGTTCCGCTCATAGGAGGTACAGGTAAAGGTACCTAGTAGTGCTCATGATGATCCATTTGCAGGTCTAGTAGTCTATCCGATGTCAGTGGCGACGATCCTCGACCACGCGTTCCGCTCGTCGTATCAATTCCTCATATACCGTCCATGTCAATGCTGAACTGATCGCCTTTCTCCCTATCCTCAGGCTCAGCCCATAGAACATACTCTTCACACCCTCCTCCGCCAACATCATTCGGGCAGCCTGCACCATATTTCTGTACTTTTGAGGCGCAATTTGGAGGCGAGTCTTGATCGCATCAAAGGGATTGGTCAGGGTCGTGGCAGCCGTGGCCGCAACGACGCCACTCATGAAATTGATGGTGGCATTGCTTCTCATGCTTCGCACTCCCGGCTGGCCATCCGGTCCCGGGACCAATTGGGACAGACCTGCGAGCTGCGCTTTCGATTGTTCGTAGAGCAGCACATAGAGTCCGGCATAGGGCGCGTCACGAACCGCAGTGGCACCAAATCCTGCAAAGAAACCGCGGGCGCCTTCCGTCTTGATGATATCTCGCGCTGCGCCCGCCATGGACGTGTACGAGTAATGAGTGCTCTCGTATCGGACCTTCAAGACGGTGACGGGGTTCATGATGAAGCCTGCTGCGACTCTGGCCGCAGCCCCCGTCGCGAGATTGCCCACATTGCTGATTTTGGGCAAAACTGATGAGCTTCTGCTGCTGCCTTCTCCGACGCTGCCACGAGGAAGTCCAGGTACCGGTATCGAGGGCATTCGAGACACATATTCTCTCATATGATTCAGCATGCCAAAGTATAATGCACTCCCAAATCCAGTCCGGATCACCGATGGAGTCGTGCCTCGCCAGAGCGAGCGAATGGGGTCAGGGCCATCGAGTACATTGCGCAGAGCGTGGCGGAGGGAGCCCGCTTGAGACTGCTGCACTCTGGTCTTGAGAAGATCAGCGGGCTGGAGTATAGCAGCGCTTGCACATCCCGATCCGAGGCCGGCGACGAAATGGAAGCCTATGTGCGTGCCGTCAGCAGAGATGGATCATGTATGATTGGGCAGTGAGTGGCCTGAGGAAGGATAATGATGTACCTAAACTGGTCTTCGATTGCTGCTTTCCATCAGACATAGCGGACCATCCGCGTCGCTACCACTGGAAAAGTCCAAATTCCATCCCTCGAGTATGTGTACAATGTATAGGGGCGTCGTGTGTGTGTGCTGGAACGCGTCGTGCGATGTGGAGCAAAAGTGTGTGACGTCTATAGACTCTGAATGCAACGCACGGTGGCGGGTGCCGACAGGCTTAAATTCCCGCCAGTACTCACTTCCTTTTACCTCGTTCTACCAGCAAAAAACGGATTGGAGAACAATTTCAACCAAAAGGGCATGGGCATCAAGGGAGAAGTAGTACAATACAGTATGTGATAAGGCTAACATGTCAACTATCGCTATATACCTATATATCCTGCCCTCCAGTTACGTATTTTACCCCCCTCAAAAACGGACTATATGGTCAAAACACATCGAAGAAATAGCAGAATTCCAATCTGGTCGGTGGCGGGTATCATATCGCACGGGGGTATCTTGCGCGGGCAAATGCATAGATCCAATCCAAGAGAAAGACCACTTCCCAATTTTTGTTCCTTTCTTACACGCATCAATACAACATTTAGACAAAGGAAAATCACCTTCCTACTACACATCTTCATCGAACAGCCACGGGGGCAAGCTCGTGCACGGAGTCGCAGTCGTCGCACTGCTGGGTGCCATGCTCTCCTGGCTGACCATGCTCTTCAACTCTCTGACAGCTTCCATGACTGTCATTGTTCTGCGATGTCCACCCGGGCGTGGTCACGCATGCCGAGGCTCCGAGATCTCACTCATCGGCGTCGGCTCGCCCATTTCGTCCTGCAGTGTGCGAAATCCCGGCGGCGCTTGGCTCTCGGGAATATCGTCCAGGCTATCGTCCTCCTCGAAACCCTCCGCTACATCCTCGATTGCGATAGGAGCGCTGTCGTCTGCATCCTGATCGTAGCTCTGCTCACGGAAGAGAGGATTGTGCAGATCGTCTTGTGATGTACCTGGGCCGTGGCGAAGATTCAAAGATCGTTGGCTCAGCGCGGGTGACCTATGACTGCGCGATCGCTCGGTGCCAGCGCTCTGGTGTGAGCCTCGCGAACTGGGTCGGTTCGAGTGAGAGCTATGCCTGCTGATCAAGCGTGGAGGTGAGAGCTTCTCGGTAGCTTCTGGTGCGGGAGAGTTGCGCAGGTTGCTCGCAGGAGGAGTCATCAGTCCAGACTGATAACCTGTCGGAAGTGCTGGTCGAGACGGAGCAGCGCCCTTGGAGGGAGTGAGTCGGCCGTTCGCGTCGTAGCGTGGTGCGTTCTTCAACGCCGAGCTTTCCATGTTCGCTCGCCACTTGCTGAACGCACTGGTCAGCTGCTGCTGGGCAACCTTGGGGGTGGCGAGACTACTCAATAGAGCTGATGCCTGACCAGCAACACTTTGTGCGCGTGAGCTGGGTGGTGCGAAGCGGTCTTTCTCTTCTTGCTCCATCTGCAGGTTTGCACGAAGCCGGATCGCAATGTCGCGCACGCGAGCGCGATCAAAGTTGGGTTTCTGAATGGTAGTGATTAACTCGTTGAGCTCTTCGTTGCGCACGGCGAGCAGTTCTCGGAGGAACGCGATTTCGTCCTCCTTTTGCTTCCTAGTTAGTCCGCCATCCTCAGCATCTGCCTCCAGACGCTCGATCTGTGTTTCGCGCTCTTGCAATTGCTCCTGGAGAACAAGAATAGACTCGCGCAGAGCCTGCGGCGAGATCTTCTCCGGCTGGCCCACGGGAGCGGGCGACAACAGTGCCGGAGGTGACACCACTCGGGAAGCTCGTGCATTCTTCGCAGCGTGCTGGGCTGCGGTTTTGGCAATCTCAAGCCTCTCCTCCAGGTGCCCGCATCTTTCTTGGTAATGTTGCAGCTTCTCATGCATGAGCCCCAGTCGCTCGTTCAGTACCATCTCCATGCGGTCCTTGTCTTCCAGTGCATGTCGCAGAGCACGCGAGTGCTGAGATGTGAGCTCCTGAATACCAGACTCATACTTGTGTCGTGCCTCGTCAAGAGCGACACTGTTGGAGTGATTCACCTTACGCAGCGCCTCGCGCTTATCCGTTTCTGCCTGCTCCATCAGATGTGCCTGTCGGTCTTTCATGGTATCGAGCTCCATCCTCGCATTGTCAAGTTCGGCACGAGTCCTGCTGAGAGCAGTCTCGAGATCAGCTCGGATCAGGTTGACTTGATTGTTGGCAGCCTCCAGCTCTGTCTCGAATGACATTCGAGTGCGATGGACCTCAGCACGACCGGATTCCTGGGTATCGTAGAGCTGGCGTTCGTACTGTGCAGTCAGACCTTGCTGCTCCGTGAGTTGCGCTTGCAGTTTGTGCATCATCTCCTGCAATTCTTGGTTGGATGACCTCGCATGGTCCACGGCATTGCGCGCCTCGGCGTTCTCGATCGCAGATGCACGAACAATGCGCACCTCATCCACGAGCTGTGCACGTTCGCGTGAAGCCAAGAGCTGTTGGTTCTCCAAAGCCTCAATCTTTGCACGATACTCGTCTTCCCTTGATTTCCATACCGCCTTCTCGCTCGCAAGCTGACCAGCTGCAGTGGACATGTCTCCATGAAGCTTCTCCAAGCGCTGCCTCATACTTCCAGTCGATGCTTCATATTCTTCGGCTTGTCGACTGAGCATGTTCACTGTCGTCTGCAGTTCCTCGCGGGCGCGTTTGCCCTCCTCAGCGTCATGTCGCCACTTATGACTGGAGATGCGGTACTCCTCAAGCGTTGCTTGAAGCGCCTCTTTCTCGGCCTCTGAGTCCGCACAACTCTCTTCCGCTTTACGACGGCCTTCTTCGGCAACTTCGAGACGCTCTATCCATGACTCACGCTCTTTCTCCATTGCATGAATCTTCTGTTCGTCGTCTCTGGCCGTGTTGCGCAGCAATTGCAATTCCTCCTCCACAAGTCGTAGTTGCCGCCGTGCTTCCACTTCGCGCTCTTCCACTTGGCGCCTTTGGTTGGCTTCTTCAAGTGCCTTTGCTAACGTCTCGTTCAATCGACCCTCGAGTTCGGATAACTCTCGCTTGTGGACATCCTGATCCACCGGCACAACGGCTGGGCTTTGCCGGACCAACGTGTCCTCGACGACCGCGCGGATGTCGTCCAGCTCCAGATTGGAAGACGCGGCCCGTGCTAATGACACTTTCATGTCAGCAAGAACCGTATGAAGATCATCAATATCCATAGATTGCTGTTGAGCACGTCTCGGACTTTGTTCACGAAGGGCTTCAAGCACGGCGAGCTTGATTTGATCAACACGCTTGTCGCGGCCACGCGAGATGGGTCGGTTCTTGAGCGCATCGGACAGGTCATCTTCGTCGTCCGCGTCGCTGTCCACATTCGAAGCCGTGCGCTTCAACTGCAAATCGGATGACTTGTGCCTCCTTACAACTGTGCTCTGTATGCTGCGGAGGCTGTCCTCCAACGGTTGTAGGCGGCTCTCGATGGCACGACCTATGAGCTTGTCGATATGACCATCGAAGAAAGTGGAACGCTGGTCGAACTTCTCCGCATCCGGAGGAGACAGCATATCCGACCAGTCGCTTGTAGGAACCTCTTCTGCCTTGTTCAGCTGTCGCACACGTGGATAGCCGTTCTGGCTGTGGTCGCTGAGATCTACGATGTGATCCAGCGTCGGCGTCGCACTTGTATCTCGCGGACGCGGATCAAGGCCCAGCGCATCTGTGTGACCCCAGTTTGCCAGGTATGTGACACCCTTCATGGGGTGGGATCCAGGACTCGGTAGTCGGACAGGCGTTGGGTCCCTCTCTGATTCCGTTGCGTTCAGATGGCGCATGACAGCATCGATTTCATCAAATGAGGGACCTGCAATTTCCATGCCCTCTGGCGAGATGCGAGTTTCTCCGCCTGGTGCCTTCGATGCCCGTGCGTTCATATCTATTGATAGATCGGCTGGTGCGATTGGTGACACTGATGCTGAATCATCTTCGCGGATTTCCCCCTCCTCGAGCTCACTGATTGACTCATATGGCTCGTGTTTCGAGCCATTGGATTCTGTGACAGCTGTAGGAGCCGCAAACGTCGGGGGCTCAAACGGCTCGGCCAGTGCTGACAGGGATGCTGATAGTTTATGTCCATGCTTATACTCCGCCACTGCATCCGCTGCGGTGGGATCCTCAAGAATGTTCTCGGTATCTGCCTTGACAGACTCTGCCGTGAGTTCAGATCGTTCAGTGACGGCGTCCTCTGCATCTGCTTCGGCTTGAGCTTCTTCCAGTGTAGACAAGGGTCTCTCTGGTGCATTGGACCTCAGCACTCGCTCGACCGGAACAGGCAAGCTGTGCAAGTCTGCTGGTAAAGCAAATTGGGGCACATCGTCACCGTCACCACGCATCTTGCGACCTCTTTTCGCGTTTCCTTGCTGCACTCGACCTTCATCATCCATCAGCTCTTCTTCTTCCGAGGACGTTCTCGGCGTGGGAGGTCGCACGATTGCGATCGCTTTGGACCTGCGTGCGGGCTTCACAATGTCTGGGATGTTGACCTTTCCGAAGATTTTGGGAAGCTCATCAATGATCGTGGAGCTCGTCGCGGCCGGTGCTTTCGACGCGTCCGCTGTGAAGGCTGGGCCCGCAGCGGAGAAGCTGAAGTCAGAGGTGGTGGGCTTGAATGTTGGTGCAGTAGCGTTGAAGGAGCCTGATGATTGCTGTCTGTTGTGTCCGAACATCTGTGCCGCAGGCAGTGGTTGCACTGGTGGCGCAACGGATGGTGCGCCGAAGGCGGGCATTGGCTGCGCGTTGAATGAAAATGGTTGCGATGGCTTGAACTCCGCGCCCGGATTGAATGTGAAGGCTGGAGCAGCAACATTAAAGCGCGTGGGCGCGCTTTTCCCAGGCTGACTGACGAGTGGGTCCTTCTCCTCTGCCTTGGACACAGGTGGCTCGTTCTCTTTGCCAATTCGTGCAGCCACAAGAGGAAATTGGGACTCGGAATGTGAGTTTTCTGATTCCTCAATGACCTCGACAAAGTCACGACTTGCTTTCTTCTGTCGTTGCTCCGCCTCGAGAAGCTCACGCTCCAGTCCTTCGCTAATGTTGTGACGATGACCCTTAGGTGTAGGCACCACTATTTCCGTCTCAGCTTGAACCCTTTTTTGTGGGGGGACATAGGCATGTGGTGGGGGCTCAACAGCATCATCGTCGTCTTCTTCCTCGTCTTCAGCAAGTTCTGGGAGGGCCGGAGTGGGCCGCAGACTAGATCCATGTGAAGTGTACGCCACAAACGGATTGGGCGCCGATGATGCGGCCATGGACTGCGAATACGCGTGTTGTCTGCGTCTCTGATCTTCGACCAATCCTCTGCTGTAATCTTGCGGAGATTGTGGGAATTGCGGGAGGATCTGCTGGCTCAAGGGAGAACCTGGTCCACGAAGGCCGCCAAGGTCCTGTCGTAATGCGGCGATCTGAGCTGGCGATCCGCCACGAGGGATACCGGCCTGTTGCAAGGCAAATTGCTGCTGCTGTTGCGGCGTAAAGCCCTGGAACCCTGGTATGCCGGGAGACTGAGCTTGCAGACCTGGTATTCCAGGCGACAGCGTCCGAGGAAACTGCGATTGCGGCTGCTGCATCCCAGGGAAGCCCATTGACGATCCCGTAAACGTCGAATGCCGGTGCATGTGCCCGAACGGCCCGTTCATGGGAGAGATGGGTGAAGCGACGGACATGGTGTGGGTATGGCCACGCATCATCGGAGGCCGGCCGAGGCTGCCAGCAGAACCGGTTGGTATGGGCGGAGAGAATGGCAGTGGCGGGTACTGCTGTCCAGCAGAAGACTGGCGGGAGAGGTCCTGCGCCTGTGCAGGTCCCGGGGCCGGTGGCAGAGGCGCAGGCTCATCGAAGCCGAGCGAGACGCCGAGTGCTGCAAGTTTCTGCTCCGTGAGATAGTCCATGTATGCTTTCCACTTGGCGAGATCGGGCAACATGACCTTGATATCGTCCTTGGAGCGCGGAGTGCGCGCTTCTCGCTCGTCGGGATAGATGTCCTTGACCTGCGCCGGTCCGTGATGGCTGGACTGCTCCTCCGCGAGGTCGTAGCCCGTGATGTCGTAGCCCTCGTCCTCGAACTTCTGCAGGCGCCAAGCAATGTCCTCGTTGCGCATCGGCTCCGCGAGGCCGGCCGCCTGATAGTTGAGGCGTGGAATAGCAATGACAATATTCCGGCCGCGCCAGCTCACGCGCTTCTTCAGTGGCGGTGGTGCCAGCTTCGGAGCAGATGATGTTGGCGGCGGCGGCGGAGGACCGGGTAGCAGCGAGGCGGGAACTCCAGCCAACTCCGCCGCTCTGATCGTGGGCACCGCCGCGCTGTCGTCGTTGTCGCCATTGATCTTGGCGAGGATCGCTTCTTGTTTGGCCAGCGCCTCTGCCCTCGCTGCCAGCTCTCGCGCCTCCTGCTCCGCCGTCTCCTTCACGACAGCTTGCTCCTCTTCCGGCGGTAGAGCGTCTGCCCAGCGCGACGACGCCATGCTCTTGGGCACAAAGTCAGCATCGACTTCGTCCTTCGTGGCGCTGTCCTGCGGCGCCCGCTCCACCTCCGCTAGCTCTTTCAGCTTCAGCTTCTCTTCCTCCTCTGGCGTCGCCGCCCACCGCGACGTGAGCAATTCGTTGGGCAACTGCTGCTCCGTCTGCTCCTCGTCTCGCTCTTCCTCGCCGCCCTTATCCCGCCGGTTCTCCGCGCTCGGCTCGGGCGTCGCCGCCCATCTCGATGCGAACAAGCTCGACATGCTGTCGTCGGCGCGGTGGCCTCGGATGGTGTCCCAGAAGCTCTGCTGGTCCAACGTGCGGTTCTCCTCACGAGGTTTGTGGCCAGGTCGTTTCACGTTGCCGCCTGCAGACGCTCGTCGCGAACCTTCGGCGTCAGACGCGTCACTCCACCAATGTGCACGCTCAGACTTTTCGATGCGCTGTGGCAAGTCCACCCACCGCTGCGTCCTCGATCGAGGAGTCTGGTCTTGGTAGGAGGTAGGGAAGGATATTCCCAGTGGGGAGGTAGTTGGGCCAGCGGGCAGACCAAAATCTTCCAAACGAGAGGGAATCAAATGCTCTAATCCAAAGCTGGTGGGAGACGAGCGCAGCTCGCTGGTGTCGTCAACAGACTCCAGCTGCGAGAAGGCGGTATGTGCGGATCTCGATCCGGGAGAGGATGAGAAGTTGTATACCAACGGAGAGCCCCAGGGAGCGGTGTGGTAGTCGGACTGATTATCTCTGCTCCGTAGACTCGCTGGTGTTCGCGGCGGAGGTAGACGGGATACGTCGGGACTGAATGAATGCTTGGTGGGCGGAGACAGCAGCGTGTTCTCTCGCTCTCGTCCTTCTCGTACGGCGGGCTGGCGAGCTAGGGGAGCATTGTTACCAACGACAGGCGGCGACGTTGGTACGGACGCAATGTTCGACGTGGTGGCTGTGGCTGTGGTGCCTGCATGGTCACATATCCGTCAGTTATCACGGTCCAACATGATTGTCTCAGCGTCTGCCCGAACATGACCTATCCACTCATGATTACACCGAATGCTCGCTCGCTCGCTCCTCACCTTCCACGTTGTCGTCAACAGGTGAGCGATAGACGTCTCGTCCCAATCGCTCCGATGATTATGGTGATGCCTTCCACACTACTTCTGCCTCGACTGACGCGTCCAGGACACACACGATGAGAGATCCTGACGCGCTCCGTGGGCCAGAATGGTGAGCTAGGGGACGTTCGTTCATCGGCCGGCTAACACAAACGAGATGCAAAGGAGTGACAAGAGAGGATCAAGAGCGAGTATACAAGCAAGTAAAAATTAGTAGTAGACTGAGCATGGTATGTAGGTATGTATGTATGCAGGCAGGAGAAAAGCAGCACAGCGTGTAGGTGGTGGTGGTGGACACCCCAACGGTGGATGGAAGATCAACAAAAGTGTCCTCCAGGTCAGTTCACCTTTCGACCTCCGAGATCAAGGGGATGACCGGCTCCCTTCTGCCTTTCTTCCGAGGATCTTGAGCCAACGGCAGCACGACACGTGAACTGGGCACACTAAGTCACTAACCACCTCATCGTTCATGGCTCCATGCAACTCCCGCGTATACAATACAACAATACCTACAATTGAACATGGCTTGGCTGACCGTAGCATTTTTATTTTATATCCAATCGAGGCACTGCAGCCCCAGCTCGTTTTCATCTTTTAATCAATACCTGAGGTACTATGTACTTAATGTATTTCCCCAGTTATACCGCTGAAAGCACCCTCGTAATGCTTCTGTCACGGGCAAATTGCATCACGTGGCAATCTCGTCAGCCACAGGCTGGGAAAAGCTAATTGCAGACGGTCCAGGTAGAGGTAGCATGCAATAGTACCACTCTCTCCCTGTAGCTCCTACTGATGCTCTCTCTCTCTATCTTTCTTCCTCTCTCTCTCTTCTATACCACCACAAGTATTCAAGACGCGAATTCGAGCAATTCAGAAACAGTTTCCCAAAAGTACATACTAACGAGTTAGCAAACCTGTAGGTACCTAAGGGCCTGTTTAATAAGGTATCGCCGACCTGCTACGTAACCTGCCGCAGGTAACTTGGCACGTATTGAACGTGTTTGACGGTTATATATTTATAGTCTTAATCTATTGAACGCTTTGGCAGCTTTATCTATCTACTATATATTCTTAAACCTATTAACCTGCGGCGGTAGGTTAACAACCTACTACCGCAGGTTCTTAACCTGTAGCATATTGCCGGCTTGCCTATTTAGGTATCCTAGAGCATATATCCGCAGGTTTCTATAAATACTACTATCTAGCTACATTGCTCGGTACCTTCTATAGGTTCTCTATATATCCGTATTGCCTAGTATACCTCCGCAAGCGTACCTACTATTAAAAGTTATTAAATATTGCTTATAATAGACTCCGACGACGAAGAAGCCGTAGTCCTTATCGCCGCCGCCGCCGCCGCCGTCGTATACTATAACGAAAAGCTCTCTCGGGCACTCTAGAAAGAGAGTAATTATAGTACCTAGTAGATAGTATATTTTCTAGAGAGGGGGCAAGAGCTATATAATATGTTCCGTATAAACAGACGGACGTTTGATCTATTACTAGAACGATTAATAGACTATAGATTAGAGGCAGAGCGTACCCTTATAGCCGTAGAGAAACTATTACATTTTCTGTATATTATTAGACAAGGCAGTAGATATCGTACTATACGAGCTCTATTCCGGAGACCTCTAGGAACTATTAGCGACAGTTTTTATACTATAATAACAGTACTCCTTTCAATATATCTAGAGGTTATAAGAGAGCTAGAATATAATGTCGACTCTGTTCCCGAGCGTATTGCAACGAACCCGAAATTCTACCTATACTTTAAGGATTGTATAGGTACACTCGATAGCAGTTATATTAAAGTATATATAGTTAGAGAGACGAAGCTATACCGAAACCGTAAGGGGGATCTCTCTTAGAACGTCTTAGCCGTCGTAGATTTCAATATACTCTTTACCTACGTCCTTATAGGTTAGGAGGGCTCTGTAGCTAATATTATAGTACTTAGGTATACTAGGGATATAGAGGGCTTTAGTACGAACATTCTAAAGAACAAGTACTACGTTGCGGATACTAGGTATATCTCGTCCGATATAACTATATTACTATTCGCAGGTAGTATAAGGTATTATCTTAAGGAATAGATACAGCTAGTAGTAGCTACTAAGCGTAGTAGTATCCCTTAGGCAGATCTACGCCTAACGGACGAGAAAGAGCTGTTTAACCTCCGCTATTTATCGCTTCGTAATATAGTAGAGCGAGTGTTCGGGGTACTGAAAATACGATTCTATATACTTAAGAAACGACTAAAGTACTCGATATAGACGCAAATACAGCTGGTATATACCCTAGTAGCACTATACAACTTTATCGGAAGGGCTAACGCTAATAATAACCTCTTTAAGGACGAGCTCCGCCGGATAGAGAGGGATATATTAATACCTTAGCGCGACGATATGTTCAACTAGCGTAGATTAGGCTAATCAACCGCGAATTACGCAAAGCAAGAGCGTAAGATAGATAAGCTCTGTAATAGGATTGTATTAGAGATATAGCAAGACTACAAGGACTATCTTGTTACTATTAGCTATAAAGTTCGAGAGTAGAATAAGATCCCCTAAAAGCTTCCGAGAGATAATTAATTAATATATTATTATATATATACTAGACTAACACAACAACCCTACGGTCGAATGCCTTACAAATGAAAGTGATGTATAATCGTATATAGTTCTTGGTCTATATATTTTAGTAAGCTTGTATCTATAAAGACAGTAGTATTAGTAGTATTTATAGAACAGGCCTATTGTAGAAGGCGTAGGATTTCCGGTACTACGGCGGAGCGACGCTCTTCTTCTTTATCTATATCTTCCTTATTAGAGTTAGTAAGTCTGATCTTATAAGGCCTTGTAGTATCCAGATCGACGTTTAGAACCCTATCGCGTAGAATTACTATAACAAAGTGTCGTCTGCCTGTAGCCTCCGCCTTTGTAATACGTACTAGCTATCTCTAACGCTATATATATAGAAGATCAATACGAGCTATATTACGGTTAAAGGTATTATTAGTATTATTGTCGCTCTAGACTATAGCTATAAACCGAAGGCGATATTCGAAAGTACCCTCGACGTACGTAGCGACGTACTATAGTTACTCGTTAAACGTACGTAGGCAGGCCTATTAATAAACTCGAGAGCTATAGAATTCCTATATTAACGCCCTTGCCTACGTTAGTACTCGCTCGGGTTCTATCTTCGCATTAGTAAGAAGCTTAAATGCCGTATATATCTTCTTACTAAGCACTATAGCGCTAGAGACAGGTTTAGCCTCTTTCTTAAATAGGATAGGTATAGCTACGGCACGTCGGGTTCGTATACTAGATAGGCCCGGGGTATTAGGATTATCTGCCTCCTCTTGTTCGTCGATAGGCTTAATTTGCTTATATTCTAGAGCAACGGAGACAGCTCGTACCCGCTCGACCGGATACGCCCGCTCGACCGGGTACTTATACTTAGTAGTACGCTTGCGCTTCGTAGACTGTTTAGCCTTTACTATACCTATTACTACTATTGCTCTACCTATAGTATACTCTCTAGTTATAGTCTTCGTCCCCTATATATTCCGATACTACTTAATTCTAGGCAGAGGATTATTACGTAACCAACGAGCTTCCTTATAACTGTCTATACTAAGGTATTTAGTCTATATAGCATTCGCTATAGAGACAACACCAACCTTCTAATCTATACTAAAGCCGCTTACCTTAAGGAGGCGCTCGATAGCAGTTGTCTTACGTTAGTACTAATCGAATTTGGTCTTAACTTAAGAGAAAACTAGGGCCAATTCCTACTTAGGGTATATCTGCCTTATACCCTTTATAACTGCTACTACAATAGCAGCCTTCTTATTACCCCTCAACCCTCTAGCTCTATAGCGATTTATATATATAAAGTCTAAGTACAGCTTTAAACCAATAAGCTCGAGGCGACGCTCTTTGTCCTATAGAAACTTAGACCGCTGTACCCTCTTCTAACTACTATCTATCTATGTCTCTGCTATATCCTTAGTACTGCTATCTCTACCCTCTTTACTATCCCTACTATCCTCGTCGTCTAGGGCATAATCGACTAGGTCTTAGGAGGAGAGGTCGTCGAGTATAGTACCGTTATATAGTTAAGGAGGCTAGCTCTTACCAAAACTGCCTACACTGTCTCCTAGAGGCGGCGAGGGCGGAGTAGGTAATAGCGACTAGTCCCGCGGACTAGTATAATCGTCCTAAGCAAGAGTATATAGTTAGGACTAGGAAGATACTCTAGTAGGAATAGTAGGACGCTTTGGTAGAGGTAGAGAGATGTCCTCTATAGTTATTGCCTTAGCCGCTCGCAGTACTACCGCATTATAGTCCGCCTTCTCGTTAAAGAGCTAGTTTTGTAACTTACTAGTATTGCGCTTTGTACAAGGTATATAGGGCATAATATACGGTATATAGTAAGTTCTAATAGTAGAGGGCTGCAAATAGCGTAATCGAAGCGTTAGATACTATCTTGAAGTATACGTAGTAGTCGTATTATATAGACGCAGCGTACGGACACTACGTACGGTACGGACACTACGTACGGACGCTACGTACAGGTACCTACAACGATTGATAGAAAAGGATAGTATAGGTATATAGTATACGAGATACAGTATACGGATATTTATATACGGGTATACCTATAGCAGTTAGCAAGTTACACTACTACCTTATAAACTAACTATTAAACAACATACCCTACGAACGATACGGCAGGTTCTCTAGCACTATCGGAAACCTGCGAGAGTTAAGAGAGTACGATATACGCCGTTTAGCGCGAATTTCGCAGGTCGTAGAACATATCGACTAACCTGTCGCAGGTTGGTCGATACCTTATTAAACAGGCCCTAAGGTAGTAACGTATTCTAAGGACCTAATATGTATGTATTATCTACTGTCTCTAGTAGCCGTTTCATTTCATTTTACGCAAAATCTTAATATAGAGTACCGTAGACTATTAGCTTGCGAAGAGAGAGAGAGAGAGTATCCTTCTCTATATTATATACCCTAAAGTATCTCGTCCCCTACGAGTCTATAGACTACTGTAGCATCTTAACTACTGCCTCTAGCGACTCTACAACACACTGTCCAATTGGGCTATCTCTGATATATACCTCTAACCCGCGTACATAATCGCTAGTAGATACTAGATAGTATATAGAATTCTTTTCGTACCCTTAAACGGTTACTCCTACTAACAGAACGCGATATCCTAGGCTACAATACCGTAGAGCATAACCCTAGGTAGAGAGAGAGAGAGACAGATATATAGAAGAGACAGATATACAGATACTGTCTCTCTCTCTCTAGAGGTCGTATCCGCTAGAATTGCGCCGTATTCGAGAGTACGATACCGTAGAGTAATACAGTATAGAAGGAGATCAAGAGGAATTTGTGTTAAGGTAGATTTCTACGTTACTTGGAGCTCAAAATACCGGATTAAGCTAAACAATTAGCAAGTCTTCGATCTCTGTATATATATCCCGCTATTTGTAACGATCTACGGCTCGTAGTCCATTTCCGGAGATCTAGCAGTCTGTCCGGTATAGTTGGTATACAGTATATAGAGTCGATTGTTATAAAGTATATAGAGTTAATAATAATAATAATAGTTCTACAAAAGAAGATCGGAAAGAAAGCTAATATACATGCTTTCTAGGTTTGCTTAACTTCTATAGTAAGGGCAAGTAAGTTCTGCTAGTCTTCTAGAAAAAGAACGTTCGCGTCCTCGTAAGTGTCCTCTTGCCTCTCCTCCTTGCCTTTGCCTCTCCTCCTTGCCTTTGCCTACCTACACTTAGTCCCTACAATGCTTGGATATAGACGAGGACGGGGGGCGCGAGAATAATTCGATCTCGGTCGCTATTCCGGTTATTGTTATTGTTGCAAGTAGTATCTGGATTGTAGATTAGTAGGTGCCTAGGGTACTTATACTATAATAAGGAGGCAGAAGTAACCTCTCTTACCCTCCTTCTAGAGCCTTTCTTCTTCTTCGACTTGTTTTGTCTATTAGTAGTATAGACTTCGTTGCGGAATAAGAGAGAGAGAGATAACAAGTACCTAATCTTGTATATATATACCTCTCTCTTAAGAGAAGAAGGGACTTTCTTTCCCTCTCTTCCTAGAGCATTTCTTCTTCTTCGATTTGCTTTCTATATTAGTAGTATAGACTCTATTACAGAGTAGGAGGGAGAGAGAGAGTTAATAAGTATATTATCTTACTTTAGATATATTAAGAGAAGGGAGGATCTCTTCTCTTTTCTAGAGTCTTTCTTCTTCTTCGATATGTCTTCTCTATCGGTAGTATAGTCTCTACTACAGAATAAGAGAGAGAGGGAGAGAGAGAGAGAGAGAAATAATAAGTATATTACCTTATTTTGGATATATTAAGAGAAGGATCTCTGCTTCTTTCTAAAGCATTTCTTCTTCTTCGACTTGTTTTCTCTATTAGTAGTATAGCCTCCGTTACTAAACGAGAGAGAGGGGAGAGAGAGAAATAATAAGTATATTATTTTATTTTGAATATATTAAGAGAAGGGAGGATCTCTGCTTCTTTCTAGAGCATTTCTTCTTCTTCGACTTGTTTTCTCTATTAGTAGTATAGCCTCTGCTATAGAAGAAGAGAGAGAGATAATAAATACATTATTTTAGGGATATTAAGAGAAGGGAGGATCTCTGCTTCTTTCTAAAGTATTTCTCCTTCTCTGACTTGCTTTCTCCTTTAACAGTATAGCCTCTATTACAGAATAGGAGGGAGAGAGAGAGAAAGAGAGAAAGAGTCAATAAGTATATTACCTTATTTTGGTTATGTCAAGAGAAATATCTCTTCTTCTTTCTAAAGCATTTCTTCTTCTTCGACTTGCTTTCTCCTTCAACAGCATAGCCTGCATTACTAAAAGACAGAAAGAGAGAGAGAATAAGAGAAAAGAAGAACCATCTCAGAACGTCGTCTGAAACGTATACTAGCGCATAGCTCTTAATCTTAGCTCAGTCGCGCTTTCAGAAGAAGGAAAAGGAGAAGAAAAAGGAGAAAAAAGGAGAAAACATGCCAGAAAACCACACCCAAAACTGCTTACGTAAGCCACTCAACCACCTCACACCTACTTAATACCCCTATTCATCCCCATCCTCCGGCAACTCCACCACCACCCCCAAATCCCAAACCGGTTTTCCCGGGCCCCAAAGAAGCCCACCACCACCATCTCCCTCGCCCGCCGCTTTCTCCTCGAGCTCTTCTCGCACGCACCTCGTGCACTGACAATCCGCATCAAACCAATCCTCCAACCTCTTGCGACGCACCCGGAGCGGCTTCTCGTGCTGGAACTGGTCATACTCGACAAAGACTTGTTCGTCTTTGTCCACGTGTGTATTTGCGACCACGTGGAGAGTCGAGTGGCCTTCGACCGTGTTCCAGCTGAGATTGGGCTCGCAAGAGTGATCTTAAGAGAAAAAGGGGAAAAGGTTAGCGGGTGGATTTTTCTTTTTTTTTTGGCCTTTTTTGGGGTGGCAAGCTTACTGATGAGGGAGAATAATGGGCTCACGCAGGTAGCCAAGGGATCACTCCAGCTATTATTGATGACGCGAGCGTGAATTTCGAACAAAACCCATGTATCGAAGTTGTGATTGGCAAAGATGTCGACGCCGAAATTCTGGAGAACTTCCATCAGGATCGTGATGTCTTTTTCGAGGCAGAAGCTCTTGTAGGCTGTGGTGCGGTAGCTGGGTGTCAAACGGGCGCTATGATGAGGAATTTGTGTGTTAGTGGATACCACCCCCATTAGCAAAAGGAAAAAAGGAAAACTTACATCAGAGGGTGAGAGAGCGGATGGTCGATTCGGTCTCGAATGCAAGTCAGGAAGAAGCGAGCGAGCAGAATGGTATGAGCAGCGTCTTTACCGAGACGGTCGCGGATCTGAAAAGAAGTCAGCAACGGTCGAGTCATCGTCATGATGTATGGCAATGTGGAAGTGTGCGTACCCAGCGCAAATCATGCTCGACTTTGTCGCCCACCTGGTTCGGATGCATAAAATTTGCACAACCATATCCTCCGTCGAGATTGGAAGCTCTACCGCCCGCAGGGAGGCCGTCGTGGTCGTAGTCTCTGCTGTCGCCACTGCCGGGTCCAATGCACCCCTGATCATACGTGTCAGCAACATCACTAGTAGGGGGTTTTCGAAGTGCCTGAGAGGACTGGTTGGAAATTTGTCGCGAGGAAAGCAGGAGGGGATCATAGCAACATACCCAAATTCTGCTCCGGTCAACTATTAATTTCTCCCCTTTTTCAATGTCTCGTAGGGCAAAGAGACCGAATGATTCTGCGCCTCCTCGAGTCCCGACACCTTTCCCGAAGGCATATCTCTTCGCAAACAGTGCGGGGAGAGGAGTCACCAGAGGGTGCGCCAATTCCCAATTGACCTGTTGAAGAATCTCATCCGACCGCGTGGAATGCTCAGCCTTCATCCACGGATAAGGCCGCGGGTAGAACATGCCTTCTTCAGCATTGGGGGCATATGCCAAGTTATCCATAATAACCTTATCGGCTGCGCTTTGGATTTGAAGGAATCGGACTCGATGCGTAAGGTGTTCGGAGTCGATGTCGAGTTTTTCCATCCGCTCGGCTACTTCATCGTCCTCGTCCTCGTCCCCGTCTCCATCCTCTCGCTCTCCATGGCCCATCCAGAATCCTGCGTGGGCTCCCAATCGGTAGTTTGGCTTCAGATTCTGGTTCAGCACCTTGAGAAGACTCTTGCACAACAGACTGGCTTTGCATGCATCGCCAACTGCAAGCTCGGGGTATCGGAGGAGGGTGAATGTGTGCGCGCGCCGAATCCATCGCCGTGGGTCGTATGGGTGTAATCGGATTTCCCTCTGATCAGTAGCGAGTCTCACGATGAGCTCTTCCAGATCCGCCTTTGGCAGTGGCTTATCCCAAGGCTCGCTGACCTTCGTGGGTTTCCACTCCGACGCGCTGAATGGTTGCTCCATAATCTACACGACTCTGCTGTCTCTGCTGTCTCTGCTGCGGCTGCTGCGGCTGCTGCGGCTGCTGATGCTGCTGCTGCTGTCTCTGCTGTCTCTGCTGTCTCTGCTGTCTCTGCTGTCTCTGCTGTCTCTGCTGTCTCTGCTGTCTCTGCTGTCTCTGCTGTCTCTGCTGTCTCTGCTGTCTCTGCTACTGCTGCTGCTGCTTGCTGCTGTCACCACCGCTGTCCCCACCGTCGCATCCAATGTGAACTTACTGCGTGAACGTAGCTTGCTCCGAAAAAGTGCGGCTTCTCTCTCCAAACGTCGCGGCTGATTCTGGCAGATTTCGTCTTCCAAAGAAGAGGTCGGCTCAGTTGATGGATGATGTCTGGGTCAGCGCAAGATGTGTGGTCGGAAAAACACACGGCTTCGGTGCTCTGGTGGTTGCTGTGAGCTTGTTGTTGTAAGTTGTTTTGGTCGACCTCACACGCGCGAGTGAATGACTTTGTTTGCCTCAGTGCGGGTAGTATCCGGCTTCTCCCGTAGTCAGTCTTCTCCCGTAGTCAGTGAATTGGGTGAAGCGTACTAGTACTATTATATAGACATAAACAACTGGGAATCTTACAAGTAGGGCTTCAAAACTTCGATTGCAGCACATCGGCCTATAGTATGGGCCCTAGCATCTATAGGTTTGTTGCGCAACGAAAAATGATAAGTCCGTCCCCTTATGCGACATCATTCTTCGAATGGAACACTGCTTATGCTTGTAGGAGGGCATGCCACCCAGCAATAAAGGGATCCTGCTTCCCAGACAAGACGGGACTGTTCCTCTTCTCTGCGCGGCTGCTAAAGTGCGGACCTAATGCTCTCCATAAAATGCCTGGCAAACGTGGAAAGATTCAAATAAATCGTAATGCTTTTCGATCATCGCTCAGTGCAGATCAATCTGCTCTTGCTCATTACGCGGCGCTTCCTCTGGAGGCATCAAGCGCTCGCACGGTCGTCATGCTGTCTAAGAACTGTCGAATTCGATCAGAACTCTCTCTGTAACGCAAGACTGTGCTTCGAGGCTAAGACAGATCGATGTCGCTGTGTTAATAAAGCAGGGGTTGAGGCTTCACCATCGTCATGCGTTTCTGCAGACGTATTGCCACTGGTGCCACCAGTGCCCAAGCGGTTTGGGGGTATCACAAGAATGGTATCTGCACCGAAAAAAAGGGGTCCCGGCACGGCCTTACAGCATCAGGTTGTGCAAGTTCCGCTGCACGATCATATCCTGTACGCTCTTCATCGTCTTGTCGAGGAGATTTGTGTCGGTGGCATTCGTGAAGTGAACGTAGGCGTCCTTTTCGGGATCTCGCACCAGATTCCTGAACTTGGAAGCAAAAAATTGCATTCCGGCGTCGACATCCGTGTTGCTACCGCTGTATTCGGGAAAGTGGTCTGAGATGCGTGCCTTCCCAGTTGAAACCTTCTCTTTGAAGAGATCGATCTTGTTGAGGAACAGGATGAGAGCAGACTTCTCAAAATATTTGCTATTGGCGATGCTTTCGAACAGCATCAGGGCTTCGTGCATTTGATTCTGGCGATAGTCAGCATCGTTTTCGAGTATCGCCCAACGTGATGATGATGATGGTGATGATGATGATGATGATGATGAGACTTACGCCATTGCGATCTTCCACAAGTACGTGATCGAAACCACTAATGGCTACCAGGAAAAGTACCACTTGAACATTGTCGAAGACATGGATCCACTTCTTTCGTTCTGATCGTTGTCCACCGACATCGAACATGCGGTACGTGAGATTGCCCGTCTCGAAGATGGTTTCGCTGATCCCGGTCGTCCGTAAACGTGCTCGCAAAATGTCCTGGTCTGTTGGTAGGTAGTCCTTGGCGAACAGTTTCTCGACATCTGCAAAGTAGTATGACAAGTTGTCGTGGAGAGCATACTCATTGCCCTTCATGATTGCTGTTTGCACGCCTGCATCGCGCCACAAGCTGGTGAAGGCCTTGAGACAGTCTAGTGGCATCGGGTCCTCTGGCCCAATCTCTGGGTCTGCAGCGACAATCTCGGCATAGCGCTGGGAGCAAGTCAGCACCTATTCGCAATCCTCCCTCGGGCTCGGAGTCCCCAGCGTGTCCCAACATACGATATTGCTTTCCTCGGCGAATTCAACATCCTGCTCCTCCATTGCACCGAACACTACTTGGAACGCGTGCAGCAGGTTCTGGAAGATGGTGACCTTCCATTGCTTTCGCTCTTCCTTTGAGAAACCCTTGGTGTGAATCAGGCGCATCTGCTTGAGTACTGTAGACTTGCCGGACTCGCCCGCACCTATATAAGCCCCAATTAGCGCTGGAGCCGCATGCCGACCAGTGGGTGCTCTGTGTGTGAATGAGTGTGTATGTGGATGTGTGTGTATGCTTACCCAACAGGAGCAGCTTCACTTCCTTTGCCAGACGCTTCTGGTCTTCCCGCAGCTGCTTCTCAATCTCCTTGCTCTTCTTCGCATCCGGGTCATCCTTGCTGCTACTTCCGAAGCACATGATGCTGCCAATTGCCATCAATGGACTCTCGCAGCCGTGTTGTCAATCGGTGCTGCAGCTCTCGGGGGAGCGGCAGCAATAGAGTCGCCGCGTGGGTGGAGTGATTGGGCGTTTCCAGGCAGTTTCCGGGCTCCGTGGTTGAACAATGGTGCCAGCGCGGACTTGACACGACTAGGGGCCGCTTGACGCTACGTGGCTGCGGTGGTGCGTGTTCGTGTTCGCCTGCGTTCTGCTTCTGCGTTTCTGCTTTCTTACGGCAGGGGAGGGTGGAAACTGTGCAATGCTGCAAGGCGAGGAGGGCGATGCGGTGCAACGCTCTGCTTTGCTCGCTGGATTATTGTGTCGACGGTCGCCTAGGACGTCGGAAGATTTGGACGTGAGACTAGCCGCCGAGTAGAGGGTGCTCGGCGCGACGTGTACTCTCGTAGTCGTGCTATTTGCCGTCAGCCAAGATATTGTGATTGGTGATCGACGGTGGGAGACGGATTGCTGGATTGAGCGTCACTCGGGTGGTGTGGTGTTGCACTGGCGGCTGTTCTCCCTCGCGAGCCCTCCCTCACTGCTTCGAACTTACATGTACACCTCAGGTATTCAGCAGCAGGGCAGACGGCAGTTGAGGAGCGCACTGATCACGAACAGCCGCCTGCCGGTCTGCCGTTGTCGGGGACAAGGAAACCGTTATCTGTGGACTAGGTACCTGACCTTACCAGGCGCTGGCACCTTACCTGACTGCCACAAGCCACAGGGTTAGGTTTTAGGTGTGCGCGCACGCACAAGCATAGCCGTTTCCAAATATCCCGAGTCGAACTACGCTACGGCAGCTCGAATCATGAATCTTTTCGACGAGCCGCAGGAGGATGAGAGAGGGGAGAGTGCAAGGTGGTGGACGGGACGGAGCTGTCAATGTTTTATATAGAGAGGTTGCCCACCACTGGAGTCACTGGACAGTCGCAATCCCCAAACCCAAAACCCGGTCGAACACTGGAACTAGAACTAATCATGCCAATGCCCAGGCCAGATTGATGAAACGCTCGCCTCCACCCTGACCAGCCTGGGATAGTTCTAGGTTTGAACGGGACAACGGAGAGACCCTGTGGAAGAGGAGGAGCATCGCGCGCGCAGCATGCCAGCAAGGGATCGCGACGATTTCCGAGGCCTATGTACGACAACTTGCAAGGACGAGAAGATGTACGAGATATATCTATCATACTCCGCCTGCTACCTCCTACTACTGGCAGGTTCTGTAGTTCTACGATAGGCGCGTGGAGCCTAGGGTACGTAACCACTAGGAAGCTGGCGAAGCCAATGCGAAGCCTTCATGATGTTTGTTCTAGAAGGCATCTGATACATTCTTCATCATGTTCCGATCTCGCCTCGCGTGCGAGGTCGTGTGCAGCCAGGTCCCATGTTGATCATGATACCTTACCTAGTATTTCCTGCAGTACCACTGCAGCTCGCCGCATGGGCATCATCTGCAGCTTGGTTCTGCGGTGCCAGGACTACAAGAACAATATCAACGACAAGGACGACAACAACAACAAGAATTACCCGCCAAGTATGATCACAACAGCATCCATGTCCACGCCCGCAACTCGTGCCGCCTTCTCGCCAAAAACAAGCTTATATTCACACACGCCGAGGCGGCTACTTTGCCCTGGTGGAACGAGAAGGGGTTCAAGAACAAAGAAAAAAAGAATTCTCCGACGTCACGCGGTTGGGTTCACCGTTACCACCCACCTACCGCACCGCAGCTCGAAACTGTGAGACGTGACTCCACGCGTCGACCACCAAACAATGGTTTCGCAGGGACGGCATAGAAGGCAGCACGGCATAAGGTAGCATGGATCTAGACCGCACCCTTCATTGCCACGTGCAAGAAGTTTCACATGATTCTTAGCTCGCACGGTGGTCAGTCCCGCCAACCGCCAACCGCCATATCGAAAACACTGAAACAGATCATTTGAGAGAGAGAGAACGACGTCATGTTTGTGGTCGTGGCTCCCGTCTCTCAACCAGTCCTCTTGATGCAATAAGACGACCCGAAGTCGAGGTCTGTGACACAGCCGGAGCGCAAGGCTCTCCTAAACAGCATTATAGCTGGTGGTACATGTGCAGAAGTGCCCGTCTCTCACAGACTGATCACAAGTGGACTTATGGTGAATGAGCACTAGCATTGGCAACCTCTGCACGCGCAACCCATTGACCATACCTACATACCTTACAAGGTCATGTACGTGGGTAGGTCCAGGTACTGTACTTGTCACCCCGTCGTGGACTTGCCGGCCTACATGTAGGTACATTCATTGGTGACGTGTAAATGCTTGGCAGCGGCAGCCTCCAGCTCGAGTCTACGACCATGAAAGCTGGATCTCAGATTGAAAGATACATGTATACCATAAAACAAAAAAAATGTCGAGCTTCTTCCACAACGCCGCCGACAAACTCCGCGGCAAAGTATTGAGCCCTAATAAAGACCATAGCATGTCTGCATGTACCAGGCCTGCCACGAAACGTGGCCTATGCTGGCCTGTCGAAAACAAGGATCCAATCTTCACATTCACCAAACCCGGGTCCAAAATATCGTGGATATGTGAGAATACCCATAGCTCGTCTCTGTATCAGCCGACAAGTGTGGGAAAGGAGCGCTGATGTGGTCCACAAGATAATTGGTCTCCTAATGTCCTTACTCCATCGTCTCTCCAGTTCATTCCCAGTAAGTCTTTTGAGCTGAAAGCAGCATAAGACTCATATAGTAGCACACATACAAACGAGGCAATGGCTTCTGTGCTAACTCTTCCTCGCATCTCGCAGTGCAATGGAACAACGCAAACATAGAAGAGCTTTCCAAGAAAGTTCAAGAAGCACAAGCTCCGGCGCTTCTCGCCTTCAACGAACCTGAGCTGCCCGATCAAAGTAACATGTCTGCAGAGCTCGCGGCAAACGAGTGGCTCCGATGTATCGAACCCATCAGAAAAGCAGGAGTCAGATGCGGCTCACCAGGAATTTCTAATGCCGGGCATGCTGTCGGATATCTGCAAGACTTCTTGGCCAGAATTCGGGCCGGTGGCAGCGACATCGACTTCTATTGTATACACTGGTACGGAGAGACGCTAGGCCAGTTTTACGATTACATATGGTCCACGTACGTTCGCCCTTGAACTCTCCCGAGATGATGGGTCACTCACTAACTTGGGATATCCAGATATCATCAGCTAGGGCCGAACAAGCCTGTATGGATCACAGAGTATGCGGCTACGAACTGGAACCAGGATGCACCTCTGCCACGAGATCATGTCGAGAGCTTTGCGAAGGAGAGTGCCAAGTATTTGGACACATTGGAGTGGGTGGAGAGATACTGCTGGTTTGGCCCGATGAGGGACACTGGGACTGTGGGCAAACACGCCGCCATGTTCGACGCCGAAGGCAAATTAACGAGTCTGGGTAAAGCCTATCGGGATGAGTGATGGAACTTGTGGCTTCTGTATATAGAGGTACAAGCGTTGTAGAGCTCATGAGTAGGAGGTACAGGTATCAGGGAGATGTCAACGAACACTTCGCTTGGAGGTACCTGCAGAGTAAACGACGTGCTTCTCACGTTTCACGGTCGTGCAGTGCAGCCACACTAGTTAGTCCTCGCGTAAGTCCAATCTCTGCTTTGCTGCCACCCGTGCAGTTTACACTTTGCATTTTCTTCTGTGCAGCGAGTCGAATCTGTTTTCCATCGCCATCATGTCACCGTCGCCACGCTGTTACCTATGTGGTGGTAAGCTGACCGCCACACACGCTTCTCATCGGAGGCTGAGAACAGAACAAATGCGACATCGGAAATGTTACGACAAGCTCGCAAAAGCAGCACGGAGCCCCGAGATACAGGAATTCCTTCGTGCCAGACGAGAACCTACCTATTCTGGTGCGGACGATGAGGTTGAGCAAAGAGAACGAGAAATCTGGGTCGATGCCCTGCATTGCTTCGTCGCAGCAATGAGCAATAACCGACTTACCGCCTTACCTCCTGAGCTGCTTGCCAGGGTGGGCGACTTTTGCGTCGAGAGCAAATTGTTGCACACCTTGCGTCTACGGTCTACTTTGCTTTTCGCTGACCACCTAAACGCCCCGTTGCCGAGACCCTTATATGAAGAAGATCTACCACTGGGCCTCAATACGACGCTGCAAATTTTTCGCCAAAACGTCGGTCGTCGCCAGTACATTACCAGAATCAAAACAGCAAGTAGTGTTGATGTTGCCACGTCTGCATGCTTCGACATTACCTCTGTGGGAAACGAGACCGATTGGACGCACTTGATATTCACACTGGATGTGAGCGGGTGTCGGTCGGTAACAATGTTCCCTCAAGCTACACCAGAACTCGGTGTCGGGGTTTGGGTCAGGACAATACCCAGATCGGCCATCTCTGCGGCAATGCCACTCGTTTGTTACTACAAAGGGGCTCGACTTCGAGATGTACGGCCCAAGGAAGGCTTTGCGCCGTTGTTCGATACTCTCCCATCTGGAAAGGACCTTGTATGGTTCTCTGAAGCTTCCAAAAAGCCGGCTGAGACAACTCCAAGGATGATGCAACGACGTATTCCGTCCAAGATGTCCGGTATAACTGTAGCCTTTATAGGAGGCTCTGTAGTAGATCTCCATCTGCACAGCGGAGACAGTATACAAGACGAGCGCTTTTATAAGCGGATGACCACACTTCATTCTCCACCAGTGTTAAGACACGCTAGCCTGAGCCCAGACGAAGATATCACTGAGGCGCGGGTACGATTGCGCCGCACGTGGCTTGGCTGCTCGTCGGCTTGTCTGTTGGTCCGCCTTCCTATCTGTACGTTTTATATGCTCATACTGAAAGTCCATAGTTCTCTACATCCCGAGGCCGTTTGATTGACCTCGCCCCATTTATCCCGACCGACCGTCGTGCGGATCATTATATCGAGAAGATTCTGAGGACACCCGGTCGGCTTCACGCCCTCTATCTCAACAAGAGGCTTGATATGTCAACAAATGCAAATATCGCACTCGAAGCTTCAAACGCGGACGTAGCGGCCGTAGACGAATGGCTACTCAAAACAACGTCCTCGCCTGACGATGTCCCGAGTATCCTTCCTAATCCATATGTGTCTGTCTTCCGAGACTTGATTGTCCTACAGGCCGAAGTTGATGTTTGCGAGGAAGTCGATGACAGCTATCGAGTGTGCAGTGGAATACGTGCTGGCGACACTATTGCGGGCCAGTGGAAAGAGTCGGGAGCACTATGCAACAAGCGCTGCGACTTGAGAGGATGGTATCTCGTGAATCTGAGGCGGAACGGTCGGTGCAATGTCTGCATTGTGTCGGATCTCGACGAATTCCCCGACCAGCGCACCTTACCTCTACACCTTGGAAGCCATATCATATGGTGGACTAGCGAGCATGGAAACTTTGTCCAGTTGAAAGAACATGATATATAAGCACGGCTGTCTCAACAGATTTGATCCCGCCGATCAGTGACGTTTCCAGCCCTGGCCTCCAACAATGCCTTGATCCTACACTATTTAAGGCGGTCTACGAACATGCTTATAACCGACCAACACAGAGAGCGATGCACGTTAACGAACGAATTTGGCGCCCCGTCTGTGCTGATTCATCGCCAAATATGTTGTTGTAGCGCGCCACTTCTACATGGCTTCTGTGGACAACGCTGGAGCCGTGTGCAGCAGCTCACCTCTACAATTACTTGCAGAATACAGGGCCATCTCATGCAAAACACGAGAACGCAGTAGAGCTAATGCCTAAGATACTCAACGGTAGCGATTCAGTGCGGCTAGTGAGGATACAAACCAATATAACATGTTCCGATAGCATCATTGGCTTCGGCATCAATTATCTACATTAGTAGAAGCGGGCAAGAGGACGATCGGACGCAATAGTCTACGTCCGGGAAAACAATCACTAATTAGACGAATGAAAGTGGTCCCTCGGCGACTTCGAGCAGCTGCTCTGCAAGGCAATTAGCGTGATCGTGCACGGTACCTGCATGCACTCTATCGACATGGATGAATCTCGAGCAGGATCGAGATGGAATCCTGCTGATAAAACAGGCCACTCATCTGTGAGGCGGAAATTAGGTATGTGGAATGGCACATCAGGAGTGTTGTGAAGAAGAAGTCCATCGAGGGAACAACATCATGAGGTCAGAAGAGTCTTCCTTCTTATGCCTGTATTTAGAGCTTCCAGCAGCCTCCTCCATCGACCTTTCAGCCTCCTGACTTGGCACTGTGGCTGTTAACATTGACAACTTGCCAGATCCAAGGGGACCTTGATACTGATGCCTCCCCTGTCGGTTATCTCGAGCTCCTCCGGATCGGTCGGCGAGTAACGACGAAGTCCAATGTTTCTAATATCGAGATCTACAATTCGTTGCTTGATACGTTCGAAGAAGTAGACCTAAGAGTCTTCAACACGCCCGGGTTTTCCAAGCTTATACTCGTAAGGCTTCCAAACTCCTTCGACCAAGGCGTACGATTTAGGTCTGATCGGGCACCCATGCAAGTCTTGTGCTGAAGTAACAAAGCTATACGCTGTATACGGCGACGGCGGCGACGGTAAGGTAAGGTGCCGCATACGGCGACGGTAAGGTAGTAACGGTAAGGTGTAGAATCAAAGAAAGGTACTATATAGGTACGGTAGATTCATAAGGTAAGGTACGTTCATAAGAATTGGCCACTTTGGCCTTCCGTCCTCTTGCGCCCTAAATACGTCACCGTCAACAGGAATACAAGTAGAGGTACAGGTACCTGTATGCACGCTGCCCTCACACTCTTTGACGTCTGAAACACTAAAGCGGAGCCAAGTAAATAGAGCTCCGTCTCTTCCATTATAATCCCTTTGCCTTCACCTCCCAAAACGACACCCAACCCCCTCCTCAGAGACACAAAATTCACATTGAACAAAAAACGTCCTTCAAAACATGGGTATGATATGTCATGAATCATCCAGACCAACAGGCTACCTTACCGAAACCCAGCTCCCAGCTTGATCTGACATGGCCTGCTGAATAGATCGTCCTCACAAGCCATCCGCATTGCTCTCGCCGGCCAGCACCGGACCACAAGCCAGCGTGTACGCAGAGAATGGCAAGGTGACAGCGACCCTTCCAACCGGCGATTCCGTCGAAATTTTGCTCTTCGGAGCTACCGTGACGAGTTGGAAGAGCAATGGCAAAGAGAGACTGTGGCTCAGCACGGCCGCGAAGCTCGACGGTAGCAAGCCCGTGCGAGGAGGCATACCTGTGGTCTTTCCAGTACGTTGCCATCAAGAGAGAAGAACCTCGCGCTGCTGGAGCAAGAGGGCGCAAGAGAAAAAAAGAGAAAGTTGGGCTAATTGGTCATATCATTACACATACAGTGCTTCGGCCCTCCACCCCAAAACCACGCAACGAGTGCTCTCCCTCAACATGGCTTCGCCCGAAACACACGTTGGGAATATATGGGCAAATCCTCCACCGAGTCCTCTGTCTTGATGAGCAAAAACGCAAGCCGAGGAGGGGACGACAACGGTGTCAAAGTCGATTTTGGCTTGTCCTCGGACTCCTTGAGCGAGGAAGCGAAGAAAGCATGGCCGTTCAAGTTTAGTCTGGTATACTCGGTCACGCTGGGCAAAGATGGTTTGCAGACTATGCTGCAAGTACGGAATGAAGGCAAAGAAGCCTTTGATTTCCAGATGCTGTTGCATTCGTACTTTAAAGTTGCGGTGAGTCTTTTTTCTTTCTATACATCTTATCTTACCTTACCTTACTTATCTTTTTCGACTGCGTGTACACAATATATATCCGAGAGCAAGTTCCCAACTGATCATCATGAATTCTCCAGGACATTTCCAAAACTCAAATCACCGGCCTCGGCAGCGTCACCTACATCGACAAAGTCCTCAACGCCACCGAACACCAACAAACCTCTCCCAATCTCTCCATCACAGGAGAAGTCGATCGCGTCTACAAATCCATCAAACAACCCACCACGTCCATCGTAGAAGACGGGAAACCCTCTCTCGACGTGACGCGCGACGGCGGCGTCGAAGACAGCGTCGTGTGGAATCCGTGGGTGGAGAAATCCAAGAGTATGGGAGATTTTGAGCCCAAGGATGGTTATCAGACTATGGTCTGTGTGGAAGTGGGCGCGGTGGATGGTTGGAAAACACTCGAGTCGGGAGAGACGTGGGAGGGTGGACAGGTGCTTGTGGCGCATTGACTACTGCCATTGCCATTGCCATCACCATCAGCGAGAGGAAAAGTGAGCAGTGTGCTTTGAAGAATGATGATGATGATGATGTGATGATGAAAAAAATGCTTGGGATATGAGCTTTATGAGAATGACAGACGCCAAAAGAAAAAAAAAAGAAAACACGAAACTGAAAGTGAAAAAAAGAAAAACAGTATTAAAGACCTGTGTGACCTCTTTGTTTTTCATATGAACTTGCATTGAAAAAAGAAAGCCAGGTATCGCGTGAATGCAGCAGCCATACTGTGCAAAACAAAACAAAAAAACAAAAAGACGCGCCTAGCGTACTAGGTAGTGCACCGAAACGCCATACACAGGCCTGGCCTGACCTGACCCTGACCTGCCGAGTCCCATTCCCATGCAAAAGCCTGCCTGCCCTCCCACTCCTTCGATATGCTGAGATTTTTTGTTTGATGACACAGGAAACACAGTGAGAAAGTCATATCTCCTCCATCTTTGCACATCGCATTCGTGTCCTCCTAGCTTCATAACACTCATTCAACCCTCGTTCCTCATTGGTATCCGTTCGCTCGTCCATACAGCTTGCCTCCATCCTGAAAATAGGGGTGGTGCACGGCTTGCTTCGCACTCATGCGACCCGCTGGGTCAAACACCAGGAGCGCATCCAGTAGCTCCAGCCCCTCATTGCCCAGTACTTTGACACCATCCGCATTCACCAGCTCGTCGTCCTGCTTGCGTTCCCACTTGGGGAAAGAAGACTTGAAATCTGGGAACGATGTGACACCAGGCCACTCTTGCTCAGTCGGCGTACCCAGCAAACGGAAGATCTTGAAGATTTCGTCAATCTCCGAGTCACCGGGGAAGAGTGGTTTGCGAGTTGCCATTTCGGCGAAGATGCACCCCACGCTCCACATGTCCACGCCTGTGCTGTACTGCCTGCCTCCGAGGAGGATCTCTGGGGATCGGTACCAGAGTGTGACGACTTCGTGGGTATATGTGCGGAGAGGAACGCCAAAGGCGCGAGCGAGGCCGAAATCGCCGATTTTGAGGTTTCCGTCTTTGTCGATGAGGAGGTTTTGCGGTTTGAGATCGCGGTGGAGGACGCGGTGGGAGTGGCAGTAGCGAATGCCCGAGAGAAGTTGGTGCGTGAACTTCTTGACCTATAAGAGCGGAGAGAAGGAGAGTTAGAGGTCAATGTGATTGTTCGCATACTTGCGGTTCTTTTTCCCTAGGCTTACCATGTCTGGGCCGAGACCAAAGTGGCCCTTCTCGGTCATGATGCCCTCTGGCAATGGTTTCCCACGACCTCCCTGACTGACAGGCAACGCTTCCATGTACTTTTTCAAATCCAAATCCACAAACTCCATGACCAGGTACAGCTTGTGTCCGTCGGCATGGACGATGTTGAGCAGTCGTAGCACGTTCGGATCGTTCATCTCCTTGAGCAAGCTGATTTCGCGAATGGCGGTGGAGGGGACACCCTCATCCTCGGCTTCGAGTCGAATCTTCTTGAGGGCCACGATGCGCTGGTCGGGTGAGGAGAGGTCGCGAGCCTTGTAGACGACACCGTACGTGCCTGTGCGCGCGTGAATATGTCAGTGTCTGTGCCTTGCTCTTCCCATCACCAGCGTGTCTGAACACAGATACAGGAGAGGGGAACACGCCACTGACCCTCGCCGACCTTCTCCATCTTCTGGTAGTTCTCCATGGTGGCGGCGTGCGGTTTGAGGGGGTGGTGGCAGCGGATTGGCGGTGACGGTGCTGCCTGAGACGCGGTGTTCAGAAGGTCTGAGGAGTTGCGGGTGAGGTTTGCTATGGCAGCGTGTGCGTGTCCATCCAGACGCGCAGGAGGAGTCGCGAAAGGGCGAGAGTGAACTGGAAGGAGTAGTGGTAGAAGGTGTCGCTTGTTGTCCTGCCAGTGGCCGCTCAGTGTTTTGCTCACAGACACGGACACGGACACGGCTTCGATCGAGGCGATGGATGGCCCCGACGCGAACCACACACACACCTGCAGGCTTCTGCTTGCCAGGACCAGGGTCTCCGCTTCCGCTTCTTTGACGACATCAACAGCCTTCGCTCTCACTCTCTTTCTCCTTCTCCTTCCCCTTCTCCTACTCCTCCTCTCACTCCTCGACTTCTTATTACTTGCAGCAATACAATTTCTGGAGCAGCTGCATACCGGACGCACTCAGGCTCATCTAACCCATCAGGTGGCCGGCATTGCAGCGAGACCGCTTCAGCTGGCGTCTGCCATTGCTCACGTGCTGACGTGACAGAGCGCGCATCCATACAGGACTGAGCGAACCGCAGCGAAGCGAGGCCAGCAAGGCGACTGTTTTCTTACCCATATTCAGCCATGGCTCCCAGTCGAGGCAAAGGCAGGGCTGCGGCTGCGTCTGCTGGTACGCCGCGATCCAGCGGACGCACTACACGAGCACGAACACGCAAGGCGGCACATGATGACGTTCCTGATGTCTACTCTGCCATGCTCTCGGAAGCGCATACTGATGGCGAGACTGATGAGGACCGACCTCTGAAGATACGAAGAATCACGCCGAAGAAATCTGGGTACCAAGATCCAAGTGCACCAATCACGCAGTCTGCAGACCTGAAGAAACCTGGTATCCCATTACATCCTACGAAGGGGAGACCGCAGACTGTCGAGGACTCGTCAGAATCGGATGATAGTGAGTTTGACTTCGAGGATGTTGATATCGATCAGCCTATGGAGTCTGCAGGCCATTCGGTCGATAGCATTGAGGACCTGTCGATATCTGTGCAGCGGGAAAGCAGTACGCCCGCCAGTGCGCGGGCCCGCAGGAAGCCTCTTGGCACGATCGAGAAGACTCATCGACTTCTGGTGCACAAGCTACACATATTGTGCTTGCTTGGTCATTGCATGTTCGTCAACGGGAGGTGTAACAATGTGATTGCGCAAGGCCATCTGCGGTCTATACTTCCTGTCAAAACGATTTCATACCTCAATCCGTCCCAGCAGGATACACAGTTCCAACGCAATCGTTCTTTTATGGAAGGGTTGGAACAGGCAGTAAGTGCATTCACTGGAGAATATCGGATCACTGGCTCGGGCCTGAAGAAGCCGCACTGGACCCTCGAGGGTGATACGCAACAGACGAAGGCCGGTGACCCGGTACCAGTAGACAGCGGTGACTTCATTGACGCCTCTCAAAGCCTCTCCGGCTCTCAAGACATGGCTAATCAGCTGTTCTGTGCCATGCTACGCTCTGTAGGCGTTGATGCTCGAATCGTATGCTCATTGCAGGTCTTGCCCTTCAATAGCGTACCCAAGGCGGCTACGCCGAAGAAACCTGCTAAAGCTCGGATCATGGCCATGCCACCCTACGATGGGCCTGATGACTTGAATGATGGGCAGAACGATGCTGCAGTAAGTGGTTCGCGGCTCATAGGCAAGGTGCCGTCTGCTCGAAGGCGTTTAGGACAGCCGAGTTTCGCTTCCGAAGCGACTAGGCCTGCTGTCCCTCTAAAGAAGCCCGCACCCGTGGTCAAGTTAGCATATCCAGTATTTTGGGTGGAAGCTTTTAACGAAGCAAGCCAGAAGTGGGTGCCAGTTGATCCCATTGTCACGAATACGATCAACAGACCTACGAAGTTAGAGCCGCCCGCATCATACGATTTGAATCAGCTGACTTACGTTGTTGCGCACGAAGCCGATGGCTTCGCGAGAGATGTCACAAGGCGATATGCCAAGGCGTACAATGCAAAGACACGACGGCAACGCGTGGAATCTTCTGTCGACGGTACGAGATGGCTCAAGAAAGCCATGCGTATCTTTCGTCGACCAGAGGGACTTCGCGATCGCGACCAGGTGGAGGACGCGGAGATGGCGCAGAAAGAGGCAAGAGAGGGACTTCCCGCAAACGTTCTCGACTTCAAGGACCACCCGTACTATGCTCTAGAGCGTCATTTGAAGCGGCACGAAGTGATACACCCGAAACGCGAAGTTGGCAAAGTCAATGCCGGTACAGCTGCGAAGCCCAAGATGGAGTCTGTCTATCGTCGGCGAGACGTACTATCATGCAAGAGTGCCGACAAATGGTACCGTTCCGGTCGCGAGATCAAGGCAGGCGAGCAACCACTGAAGCATGTGCCCGCCAGAGTGCGAAGACAGGCCTCGCAGGAGCCCAATGGTGGGAGCGATGATCACGCTCCTACTACAGGTTTATACGCACCACATCAAACCCAGCTTTATGTACCGCCACCTATACAGCATGGTCGCGTACCGAAGAACATGTATGGCAACCTGGATATTTACACGTCGACTATGGTTCCCGCTGGAGGCGTACACATTCGACATGCTCTGACGCAACAGGCAGCCAGGGCACTGCGTGTCGATTATGCAGATGCAGTCACAGGATTCCAATTCAAAGGGCGACATGGTACTGCCATTATAGAGGGCGCAGTGGTCGCGGCGAAACATGCTGATGCAATACGTGCGATAATTGATGGTCTGGAGCTCGAAGCGTTGGAGGATGAATCAAAGGCGAGAAGTCTGCGCGCCCTCAGAGCATGGAAGCGGTTCTTGACTGGTCTGCGTATAGCTGAGCGCGTGCGAGCGTATGGCGACGCATCTTTACCGGTGCGAACACATGCTGATGATGCCGACAATGGGCTGTTCGCATCGATGGTTGCCCCTGGCACAGATGAAGAGTTACTGACAGCAGGTCGCTTCAGTTTGAAAGAGCTCGAGAGGAAGAAAGCACCTGCGCGAAAGCGCAAAGTAGAGGCCAGTGATAGTGAAGAAGACTTCGAATACAGTGTGAATGAGCAGTCGGAGGAGGAAGAAGCCGGTGGATTTGTCGTGGAACGGAACAGCGCAGAAGTAGATGAACATGGTGGGTTTCTTCCCGACGCAGATGAAGCGATTGAAGACCAGAATGAGATGCACGATAGCAGCGGATTGGACACCAATAACGTTACGCAATCCGAATACGGAGGTGGCGGCTTTTTGCCAGAGGGAAACGCCAATGGGGATGAGGACGAACATGGTCGTGAAGGCAGCCCCGGAAAGGGCATGGCCGAGCATTCCCACGATGAATCCCCTCTCGAGGACAACGCCGGTTATGAATTTGCAGGAGGCTTTCTGCCAGATGATAATGAGCACGGAAATGAGGACGATGTGCAGAATGGAGACAGGAATGCTCCCGATGCTAGCACGGATCATGACCGCACATCGGAGACAGACTTATGGCCTGGAGCTACAATGCATGCCTCTGGGTCAAACAGCACCACGGGGTTGGTTCATAGTGAGAAGTTGGTTTTGGGAGATGGGGAGAGTGACAACGGCTCGATGCTTTCACACGATCCGGAGGACGATGAAGCGGAGCCGGACTGGCTGGAAAGTGATTGAATTGAGTTTGATTGTAATAATAGCAGATTGTGTACGTGAACGAGAGATATGTTGAACAAGCAGCTGCAATTGTCAGTGCCAGAACGTAGTCCCTAAGTAGGAGGTAGTATATGTCGAAGACATGAGAGTTTTACGCCAAGAGTCTTGGCGGCAGTAGACTGTCTTCCACTCTTCTTTCCTCTCTGCAAACGTATAAAAAACATCCATCAAGCATGGGCAAATCATCCAAGGATAAACGCGACGCCTACTACCGGCTGGCGAAAGAGCAAGGCTGGCGTGCGCGCTCTGCTTTCAAGCTGCTTCAGCTCGATGAAGAATTTGATCTGTTCTCGGGAGTCTCGCGAGTGGTCGACCTCTGCGCAGCGCCGGGAAGCTGGTCGCAGGTCCTCTCGCGCATCCTCATCAAGGGCGAACGAATTGGACGAGCGTCGTGGGAAGACAAGCGCCATCACTATCTTCTGCAGCAACGGAATGGCAATCAGGCACCAGATGAGGCACCAGATGTAGCCGCCGAGCCTGACCGAAGCCCGCGCTCCGACGTCAAGATTGTGGCCATTGACCTACAGCCCATGTCGCCTCTGGAAGGCATCACATGTCTCAAGGCTGATATTACCCATCCGTCGACCATCCCACTCCTCCTCAAGGCTCTGGACCCGGACTACGACCCTGCATCATCATCATCAGCAGCAACGGAAGCATCTCATCCTGTGGACCTCGTCATTTCTGACGGAGCACCAGACGTGACGGGCCTGCACGACCTCGACATCTATGTACAATCCCAATTGCTGTGGGCGGCACTCAACTTGGCGCTTTGTGTCCTCAAGCCTGGTGGAAGATTTGTGGCCAAGATTTTCCGTGCAAAGGATGTGGATGTGCTGTACGCTCAGCTCAAAACCGTGTTTGAAAGCGTCAACGTGGCAAAGCCGAGGAGCAGTAGAGCGAGCAGTGTCGAAGCGTTCATTGTGTGCACAAATTTTCGTCCGCCACCAGGATTCAGGGCCAGTCTGGACGACCCTCTGGGTGTCTCTTCGGGCCACAGTTTGCAGCCTCAAGAGGATGAGAGTCTCCAGTCAGATGAGACTTGCCGCACCACCCGGACTTTGCGAGCAGATGGTATTACTGAAATCAATATCGACACGAATCACCAAAGCCATCGTTGGATTGCTCCGTTTCTCGCATGCGGGGACCTCAGCGCTTTCGACGCTGATGCGAGCCATAAGCTGCCAGAGGGACATGTGAGTCTGGACCCGGTCCAACCACCAACAGCGCCTCCGTACCGCAAGGCCCTCGAGGAACGAAAGAAGATGGGTGGCGCATACGGCAAGACGAAGCTTGGTCATGTCTGAGGTATCTACGCACCAGCGGCTCGACATCAAGGGCTATATATTCTATGCCTTGGCGATCAATTGATCTGCGTGTTTTTGGTACCGCGCGAGAACACGGTGGATCTGGATTCCGACAAGCCAACTTCTTCGGAAGCGCACAACGCACGCATGGCTGTTGGAAGATTACAATGAGGCACGAGGGCCTCGAACTGGAGTTGATGCTCATAGGTTCAGATATCAATACTCGGAGCCCTTCCGGATTACCGTCAGCAAGCCGCCACCAGCCATCGTGTGTATCGAAGGCTTTTTCAGTATTGTCCAATCTGAACAATGGCCATCCTGCTACAACAGCACGTACACTAAGCAGATATCTCTTACTGTCCCCTAATTACTAAGGAGACGGTATTCGAGTCCAAGTCTTTTCCCCTCTTCAAGTTCACGTCGACTTGGCAATATCTCCAATGTATACACCGCAGCTATACTGCACGTCCGAATCCAGCCCTAGATAACATCGGACGGCGGATATCAGCGGCCTCGCGAGGACACCACAGCATCCTTCTGATCCTTATGCCAAGGAGATGCGTGTGTGAGGATGATAGAATGTTCTCGCGATCCCGCGGAGGTGCAGTGGATATACAGTTAGAGGTCAGGAGAGTGAATTCTCGAGGGCTTATTCTGTGAAGAATAAGAAAACAATAATCAACTGGGATGATGCGCTCAACCGCAGCAAGAGAGATTGGAGCGACGTACAAAGGCTATAGGGCTTTGTGCTATGTTGATATGCAGCAGAGGGTCGGCGCATGCGCAGTTTCGTACGACGACGTCGGACCATTGGATGCATTATGCCGCGCTAGCCGTGGGAGAGTCCAACCTGACAAGCGTATCCGACCTGGCTCTCCTCACTCCATCTGTTGCCTGTTATGGCCATCTCCGTCAGCCCAAGGAGGCCATCATTGCAAAATCATGGAATCACCACGATCGAACACGATACCCGCCCCCGGGCTTCATCGCTGTCATCTTCCCAGTAATGCTGTTGTAGCGTCCAAGTCTCGATATGACACGGCATCTGACAACAGCTTTCCAATGATGCTATGGCGCACCACAGTCTCATCAAAGTGGTAGAAGAAGAACGTCCTCACAGATGTATACTCCTTGCCACAGCACTCCCATCACTGACCACATCCAGCCGACCCAGCAGTAGCATCTGCGGGCAAGCGATGCAACATGTCGATGCTTGATCATGCAGTGCTCAAACGCATGAAGCCCCTCGCAACAAACAAACGAAGCACCCCTATCGTTTCGCATCATTCCGCAACGAAAGTAAGCAGCAGCAGCAGCACATCTCTCCACTACCATATCATTATTGCCCCTCGCGTCTGTACCCTACTTCTTCCTCTTCAGATTCCCGACCCGGCGTTGGCAAAGCCGAAATCCTGCAGGCCAATTTTAGTCTGGCGAATGTTACACTATTCCAGCCTCTCTTATGGTGTCTGCATGGCGTTGGCAATTCTTACCAGGACTTGTATGGACTGACATGTAATCTTGAGGTGCATGCATGCATTCGCCACGGCAGGGAAAAAAATCAAGATGCGGGCTCCATGAGTTTTGTGTTTTTTTTTATTGTAGCCAGAAGAAGAAGAGGAAGAAGCGGAGGCGTGGTTGAGTGGTCACTTGCTGTGTATGTGTGTGTGTGCATGGTATAAAGATGTAAGGCATACCTCTCACAACGGGAATTCCTTTGTTTACACGGCATCTCTCTGTCTCTGTCTCTCTCACTCTGTTTGAGATCTCCCAACTTTGAGTTACTGTGCTATCGTCCACTCTGGAAATAACATCTTCATCACTGGGAACAGAAGAAATACACTCCATCCTACGACGACGACAAGAAGAACAACGGTTCCCTCTCGTGCAACCCACGCACGCTCCGTCATCCGCTTCCACCAACCAAGCAAGAAAAAAAATACAAGAATCATGCCCTCCTTCACCACCCTCTCAACCCTCGCCACCCTCCTCCTCCTCCTCCTCACCGCCACCACCACCGCCACCCCCAAAACCACTCGTCGTCAACCCGCAGCAGCAGCAGTCGCCAGACCACCTTTTTTCAAACAAAAACGTCCAAACTGGTCCCCCTCCTCCTCCTCTTCCGGCAGCAACGGTGGAGGACGACGCTCCGAGGACACCACATGCATGACCTCGACAGACGCACAAGGCGTCGCGACGAATTTCAAAAATCTCATTGCGGCGTATAGTGAGACATTGGCGAATTCGTCTCTGACGGTAGATTTTGTGGATTATTCGGATAGTGTGATTGAATTGATTAATAATGGTTGTCCGGATTCTGTTGTTGCTGTATGTTTTTCTCTTTTCTTTTTCGCATTTCTTTTTTTTTTGTTTTTCGTTTTTGGTGAAATGAAAAAAAAAACGTTCCCAAATCTTCAACTCAGCTAATCAATTCGATTAACATATACACGATATAACAGCTCGGAACAGCAACTTTCGACTCTCGCGCCTCTTTCGAAGCAGGACAATCCGCTCAACCCGCCATTCCCTTTGAACAACTAAACCTCTGGTCCGTCATCAAAAACCCCCCAAAAACCCCCTCCCCTTTTCCTTCCCTCTACTCACTCACAAATTCCAGGCACAATTGCAACTCGGTAACAATCCGCTGGCTCTCCTCAGGCCCCGGCCAAGAACCCTCTCAAGTCACAGGCATCATTGTCATGGAAACGGTATATTCGGAAGTCGAGGGCACGTGGTTGATTAGTACGGTGTATTCGGAATTCAATAGTGGGGCGTGGTTGGTGAATTTGGGGGTTTTTAAGCCGGGGAATTGTACGGTTTAGGGGGAGGAGGGGAGAAGATGGAAAAGAGGAAGTGAAAAAGGGATGGGGGG